TCTAACCAACAATTTATACTACAACCCAATAATATTTCAAGTGAGGTCTAACCAACAATTTATCTAAAGAGAGAATTTCCTACTTTAACTTGTTATCAGCATGTGTATAAGTACTTCCTACAATTGTGTTAGCTTTATTACAATTAACGGAACACTACCTTTGATGGCTTGAGTGACATAAAGTGTGTTAACTCAAATACATACCTTACATTTATTATAGGTAATGTTTATTTATATAACTTCTAATAAGAGCAAGCTATGTACTTGGAGTGCAACTAAAAACAGTTCCAATAACATCTCGCAAGGTTCAGTAACAAATCTTTAACCCTGAGGAACACCACTGCTAACAGACTAATTCATTTGATTATAGGTAGCTGGGTAAGAAAAAAGCAAAAAGATTTGTTTAGTGATGATTGTTAGGTTAAAGATTTGTTACTGGTGATGTTTGTCAGAGTTAGAGAGTTGTTAGTCTTTGGTGTAGCACCTAATTAACAACATTTTGGAAGTCTAAGTAAATGAAGTTCACACCATTTCCATCATCCACATAATGTCCTTAAATAAGTTAACAGCTTTGTAAGACAAGATTTCCTCTACAGTGAATCAATGTTGGATATCATCGTGGTATCATAGTAAATGATTTTTCCAATTAAGAACTGATCGATTTAATATAAAACAAAAATAATTAAAGTAATCTAATCACAAGCCCAACTTTTCAAGTATTTGTTTTAGGATTAAGAAATGTAAAATTCTACATAGGTTTAACAAAAAAAGGGTTGAAGATAGATTATTACTATTAAACATTGATTTTATCAGTTCATAATATCTGATCATTGTCTGTGTATATTGTAAAGAACATTTCTACCTAACCTAGTTTTAACACTATGTCATGTTGTCATTGACTGAGTATAATTTTTCCCTCTAGAAATAACCTAAAGCAAGCCTATGTCAGTCCAGCCGAAGGGCTCGCAGCGTGGGAACTAAGACAACAGAAGGTAAGTGTGAATACCCTTATCTGTACTGAATCAGGTGATGCAAAGGTTTGACCAAATTGTAATGGTTATAGTGACATATAAGAATTAGGATTGTATTTAATCCATTGACTGCTGATTCACTGTATAGTGTACGGTCTGCCTCCAGCAGTTGAATGCGACTGTGTGTCGTATACAGTGTATGGCTTGCAAAAATTCTGTGTGCATTTAGGGCAGCTACAGTCAACAGGTTAATATGCACCTTGCATCTTTTTTTATTTATGTCATTTAAAAATCTGGAAAATGGCTAGAAAATGTTATTATTTAAAGTATATGAATGAATAATTGTTGACGTCTGATTGACTTTAATGCATTAATAGCCTGGCTGATTAAAAAAATAATTATTTTCAAAAACAGTTTCCTCGTGAAAAGTGTTTAGTCATTGGACAAACCATGTATTAATTTTTGTTAAAGCGAGCATTAATAAACTTGTTACTGGTGTCTACTTTTCAGTATCTTTCGTCTTAATTTTTAATATTTTCTTGGCAGACTTAACTGTTTTGGATTTAATTAACTTGTTATTATTATTATTTTTGCACTTAGATGTACTTTATATTTGTTAAATTTTAGGCAAAGAAAAAACTGTCACAGACTTGGAAGGAATTGGCCTCCAAATTGAATGTTTGGTCACATTCATTCAAAAAAATTGAAGGTGTGTATGATCAAATTAATTAAATGTTTTTAAAACAAAAAAAAAAGGTAGTAATTCGGTTAATGTTTCATTGCATATTAACGTATCATAGTGTAAACTGAAATTCAAAGATGTTTATATGATTTGGTAGCATTGTAGCTAAATATCTATAACTCCAATTGAAGGTTATATATGTTGATAATTTTTTAAACATCTTGGGTTTGGATAATTGACCTTGATTAACATCTGTACCTTGGCAATAGATACAAAAGTGATCTCATGCTGTGTCTTCTCGAAGTTTGTTGCTCTAACTATATTATGTTATATCATTGTAAAGGCACAACCGTAATTTATCTTAATAGTATTAAATTGTTGTGTGTGTTTAGTCTAGATTTATATTTGATTCAGTTGTTGTCAAACATACTTACTACACATACACAGAATTTGGTCAGAGTATCAATTAAGCTGCTTATTATATTTAACAGCGCAGCCGTAGCAACTTAAACCAAAATAACTTGTACATGATCACGATTCTTCACTTGATCACATTTCGTTAATATTGACAAACATGGTGATGTTTGAGTTTAGTCTGTGAAAATCTATTACTATGATGCTCAAAATGCTTTTTTATTCTTTCTTAAATTTAATTTTTTCAAGTTTTATTTGTATATGGCATTTTATTATATAAGAGCCCCCCAGTGTCACAGCAGAGTGTCTGTGGACTTACAATGCTAGAATCCGGGTTTCGATACTCGTGGTGGGCGGAGCACAGATAGCCCATTGTGTTGCTTTGTGCTTAACTTCAAACAAACTTTTATAAA